GGAAAGGAGTCCTAGGTTCTCTGTTGAGGGAGTTTACCAAAGAGTCATCATTGGCAGAAATCTCTTCCTTGAAAACGTCTATTTGAGCGCTCTGGATTTACTTATTTCCGAGGGCACTTAAGCAGTAAAGTAGTCCTGATGATGTTAACAGCAGCAGCCCAGGGGGTGAAGGTGATGATACTGAGGATTTTATGGTTCCTAAGCTTCTCTCCCTGGCCTCTGCTCTCATCCCCAGCCCCTCTGTCCTCCCAGCTTGTCTCCTGTAACTGACTCCTCCCTCTTCTCTACAGGAAGCCATACCTAAGTCCCCAGTCTTCCTAGATCTTCCTAGATCTCTCTTCTGCAAGCTGACCCTCTCCCACTGTGGGTACCATCCACTATACAGAGGCTAGAAAATACCCCGGAGGCTTTTTGGTGCTATCTTTGTAAACATGAACTAATAATGGACTGCTGCTGCTAAGTCGTTTCAGTCGTCTCCAACCCTGTGAGACCCCATAGACGGCAGCCCACCAGGCTCCCCAGTCCCTGGGATTCTCCAGGCAAGAACACTGGAGTGGGTAGCCATTTCCTTCTCCAATAATAATGGACTAGGTCACAGAATATTAAAGCATGGAAATAATCAAATCAGGATTTTTAATAACATATTGAGCTGGCATGATCATTGACATAACGTCTGATGATCTGGAATCCAAACAAAATACTGTCTTTTCCCCCATTATACCAAATAGCATTGATTAATGTTCATTATTTTAAGTCTGGTAGCCTGCAGGGAAGATCTGGATGTGCCTTCTACATCATCATAAAAAGACATTCAGTAGATGTTTCCACAGATGTCTGTGTGGCCTCTCCCCTTATTTCCTTCAGCTCTTTGCTCAAATGTCACCTTGAAGGCTTTCTCAAATGACCCTAAGGAAAATGGCAATTTCTCCTGCCTCTCCCCAACCCCTGACATTCCTGATACCCTTTCCAGATTAATTTTTCTTCATAGTATGCATGCATGCTAAGTAACTTCAGTCATGTCCAACTCTCTGCGACCCTATGGACTGCACCCCACCAAGTTCCTCTGTCCCTGAGAATTCTCCAGGCAAGAAAATTGGAGTGGGTTGCCATGTCCTTCTCCAGGGTATCTCCCTGCCAGGGATCGAACCCTCATCTCTTAAACATCTCCTGTATTAGCAGGTGGGTATCGCCACCTGAGAAGTCCCTTTCTTCACACAGTGCTTATCACCAATTCAAATATTACTATTTTATTCATGTATCTGTGCCCTGTGGGTATTGCACAAAAATGCATGCACACACACACAAATACTTGAATAAGCTCCATGAGAGCAAAAATTTTGTTTACTTTGGCTGCTATTGCGTCCCAATGACTAAAAAAGCAACTGGCACATGGTAAATACTCAATAAATATTTGTACAGCACATAAAATATGGTTTCACTGAACCTGTCACGTGCCAGGCACCAGGAATTCCACAGGCACATTATCTCTATTTCTTTAGGACATAACACCTGGTGCAGAGAAGGATCACACATGTTTGTAAACAAGTAGTAAAAATGGTATTTAGAGATTAAGTACAACAAAAGTAGGGTGCTGAGACACAAAGGGACAGCAAAGACCTATCAAGTTAAGAGTTGGTGGTTGTTAGAAAGGGTCTTTTGGTGATGACATTGAAGCTGAGATGAATGAGATAGCTTGATACTATTCAGCAGAGGAAACCCTCATTTCCCAGTCACAGGGGATAAGTGAGTGTGGCACGCAACGTAAGATGACCTGAAGAGAAGACTGGAGAAGAAGTTCTTGGTCTGAAACCTGGGTTCCACCTCCATTCAACTATTAGCTAAAGGATCTTGAAAGATCACACATGGAGAAGGCAATGGCACCCCACTCCAGAACTCTTGCCTGGAAAATCCCATGGACGGAGGAGACTGGTAGGCTGCAGTCCTTGGGGTCTCTTAAGAGTTGGACACAACTGAGCGACTTGACTTTCACTTTTCACTTTCATGCATTGGAGAAGGATGTGGCAACCCACTCCAATGTTCTTGCCTGGAGAATCCCAGGGATGGGAGAGCCTGGTGGGCTGCCGTCTCTGGGGTCGCAGAGAGTCAGACACGACTGAAGCGACTTAGCAGCAGCAGCATGTTGAAATAGAATGACTCATTAAATTGTGGATAATCAACTCAATTTCTTTTACAGGTTTAAAAATCAACTGTAGATTGAATTACAGTTTACATGCAGTAAAATCACCCATGTTAAGTGTACACGTCAATACAATTTGAAATGCATTTTGAAATAATATATAATACATACAAGATTCCCCCTTTATCCTCAGTTTCTCTTTGTGATTTCAGTTACTTGCAGCCAACTGTGGTTTGAAAATAGTAAATGGAAAATTCCAGAAATAAACAATTCATAAGTTTAAAAAAAAAATCACACAAACTCTGAGTTTCTCTTCCTTAAAATGGGGGTGAGAACACCTACCTCATGGGTGTGAGTTATATAATGTACCTTAAAGAGCTTAGCTGTAAAATGCATGCCTATCAGTTCAGTTCAGGTGCTCAGACGTGTCCGACTCTTTGTGACCCCACAGACTGCAGCAAAACAGGCCTCCCTGTCCATCATCAACTCCTGGAGTTTACTCAAACACGTGTGCATTAAGTCGGTGATACCATCCAACCATCTCATCCTCTGTCGTCACCTTCTCCTCCCACCTTCAATCTTTCCCAGCATCAGTGTCTTTTCAAATGAGTCAGCTCTTCGCATCAGGTGGCCAAAGTATTGGAGTTTCAGCTTCAGCATCAGTCCTTCCAATGAATATTCAGGACTGATTTCCTTTAGGATGGACTGGTTGGATCTCCTTGATATCCAAGGGACTCTCAAGAGTCTTCTCCAACACCACAGTTCAAACACATCAATTCTTTGGTGCTCAGCTTTCTTTATAGTCCAACTCTCACATCCATACATGACTATTGGAAAACCCATAGCCTTGACTAGATGGACCTTTTGTCAGCAAAGTAATGTCTCTGCTTTTTAATATGCTGCCTAGGTTAGTCATAGCTTTTCTTCCAAGGAGCAAGCATCTTTTAATTTCATGGCTGCAGTCACCATCTGCAGTGATTTTGGAGCTCAAGAAAATAGTCTGTCACTGTTTCCATTGTTTCCCCATCTATTTGCCATGAAGTGATAGGACCAGATGCCATGATCTTAGTTTTCTGAATGTTGAGCTTTAAGCCAACTTTTTCACTCTCCTCTTTCACTTTCATCAAGAGGCTCTTTAGTTCTTCTTTGCTTTCTGCCATATGTGGTAATGTTATCTGCATATCTGAGGTTATTGATATTTCTCCCGGCAATCTTGATTCCAGCTTGTGCTTCATCCAGTCCAGCATTTCTCATTATGTGCTCTGCATATAAGTTAAATAAGCAGGGTGACAATATACAGCCTTGACAAACTCCTTTCCCAATTTGGAGCCAGTCTGTTGTTCCATGTCCAGTTTTAACCGTTGTTTCTTGACCTGCATACAGATTTCTCAGGAGGCAGGTCAGGTGGTCTGGTATTCCCATCTCTTGAAGAATTTTCCACAGTTTGTTGTGATCCACACAGTCAAAGGCTTTGGTATAGTCAATAAAGCAGAAGTATATGTTTTTCTGGAACTCTCTTGCTTTTTCGATGATCCAACAGATGTTGGCAATTTGATCTCTGGTTCCTTTGCTTTTTCTAAATCCAGCTTGAACATCTGGAATTTCACGGTTCACATACTGTTGAAGCCTGGCTTGAAGAATTTTGACTATAGTGATGGGTAAATGCCTGCTGCTACTGCTAAGTCACGTCAGTTGTGTCCAACTCTGTGTGACCCCATAGATGGCAGCCCACCAAGCTCCCGTCCCTGGGACTCTCCAGGCAAGAATACTGGAGTGGGTTGCCATGCACTTTTCCAGTGCATGAAAGTGAAAACTGAAAGTGAAGTCGCTCAGTCGTGTACGACTATTCCCCACCCCATGGGCTGTAGCCTACCAGGCTCCTCCTTCCATGGGATTTTCCAGGCAAGAGTACTGGAGTGGGGTGCCATTGCCTTCTCCGGGGTAAATGCCTAAATACTGTTAATTTCCCACTAACCTTGAGGATCCTGAAGCTAAAGCCCTTTAGTATACTTAATGGGCTTCCCTAGTGACTCAGGGGTAAAGAATCCACTCCCGATGCAGGAGACAAGAGTTCAATCCCTGGGTTGGGAAGATCCCCTGGAGAAGGAAATGACAACCCACTTCGGTATTCGGTCTACAGTCTATGGGTTCGAAAGTCGGACACGACATAGTGATTAAACCACCTAGTATACCTAGGCCAAAGGAACCAAAGCATGGCAAAGCCTGATGCCATTCACAGGTGGAACATTTGTACTGCTGGGTATCTGTCTCATTTCAGATTGTGTCCGTGTCTGCAGAGGTGTCCGGGCGCCATGGCTCCCTTCCCCAAGTCGCGGGAGGCATGGGAGAAACTCTACTGCACAGAGGGGTCTCTCTAGAGCTGTCCTCATCTGCTCCCGCTGCTAGGACTTGTCTCTGAAGTTCAGAGGATGACCCGATGTGTTTGTGCCAACGGTACCTACCAGGAGTCAAGAGACAAACTGGACTTTGCCTGTGTTTCCTGACGGCCTCAGGGCAGCCTGTGGACGTCGGTGCAAACCAAACCCACAAGCCTGAGAGAAGGCAGGAGGGGGGAGGGGGGCCTGTCTTGGGACAAACTGAGGATGCAAGGAGCTCTGGGCTTTTGAGGGGCCAAAGAAGACCAGGGGAAGGAGAGCTGGGGTGTGAGCGCGGGGCGGAGAGGGCGGGAAGGGAGAGGAAGGAGGGAGGCCGAGGAGGGAAGGGCCTCAGGGGAAGGAAGGACACGCGCGGAGGGGTTGAGGGGGGCGGGCACGAGGCCGGCGGCCGCCGGGGAGGAGCGGCGGCGGCCCGGGGGGCGCGGGGCGGGGCGGGGCGGCGCTGTCAGCGCGAGGCAGCGAGCGGAATGCAGCGGCCGGAGGCCTGGCCACGTCCGCACCCGGGGGAGGGGGCCGCGGCCGCCCCGACTGGGGGCCCGGCGCCGCCCGCCCGAGCTGGAGAGCCCGCGGGGCTGCGGGTACGGAGCGGGCGGCGCCGGGGGCCGGGGGGCGCCAGCTCACGGGTCGGGCGCCGGGGATCTTGGTGCAGCCGGGACCGGCCTGGGAGGGGCGGCGCCCGCGCGGGCAGAAAAGTTCCTCCGCGCTGACTCGGGAGGAGGCCGGTGCGGCGTCCGCGTGGGCGAAGTTCTGGAGCAGTCGGAGCGGGCGGGGGACGGCTCGGCCGGGCTGGATTGCGACTCTCCCGGAGGGCTAGGGAGCGCGGGGCCGCCCCGGCGGCGGGCTGACGTGCGTGCTTCTGGAGCCCGACGGGCCAGGGTGCCCGGGGACCGCTGGAGGAGCTCGGCGCCGCTGTCCCCCCGGCCCAGGTTCTGTGATACACTCCGACTCGGGCTCTGGAGCAGTCAGTGCATGACAGAACTTGGGCCCGGACGGACCTTCTGCACCCAATGGGCACAGCGCCCACCCGGGGCCTGCAGTGGGACAATTGCCTGGGAGGGGAGCGGGCACCCAAGTGGTCCATGCGGCATAGGGTTGGGCCGGAACCAGTTGTGGACTTTTGGGGCTGGGATCGCTGGCCTGAGGATGGACTCCTGGGACCAGCAGGTCCCGTAGAGCCAATGACAGGGGTCTGCCCTGGCCTAGGGGTCAATAAAGCTCTCCCCCGTGTCAGTTGCAGGAACCTTCCCTCTACACCATCAAGGCCGTTTTCATCCTAGATAATGACGGACACCGCCTGCTGGCCAAGGTAACCTCCCACCCTCACCGGAGGGCCCCTGAAGACACTGTGCCACAGGCCCACGTCCAGAAGTCCCCACCCAGCTGGCAGGAGAGACCCCACTGTGGGCTTTGCGACACAGACCAGCTCAGCGGAGACCCTTCCAAAGGTCATTCTGTCCATCCTCCTGCCTTGTCAGACTGCTGGCCCCCAAAGGGGGGAAAGGCTGTCTCTTCTGTTTCTACTCATGTTGTCCAGAATGTCTTCTTCCCGTCCTTTACTCTGGCCTGGGACCCTGGATTCCTGGTCCACCAATTCTGAACAAGTAATTCTTGTTTTCCTTCTACAGCTTGGTAAACACTAAGGATTTAGAACAGATAGGATTTTATAGACCAGATTTTAATCCAACTCTTTCATAAATGAGGAAAATGTAATCTAGAGAAGCCAAAAGAGTTGCCTGGAGTCACAGGTACTAATATCAGAGCAAGGATCCAAACTCGGGTATTTTGACTCAGGAGGATGATTTTCTCTGCACCAACTATTCAGTTATCTGGTATATATGCTAGTGATCATGGCCAAGACAAACCAAACTAGAATAATCCAGAAATAAATATCTACCATCAACACAATTAACTATAGTGGGACTGTGACACCTAAACTAGCTATGAAATGCAATATAGACTTTTTAGCTTGTTTAGGCTGAAACTTTTTATCTTCATGACATTGCAGTGAGCCTGTTCACCACAATAGTGGCTGGCAGGGAGACCACTAATTTGCCTGCAGATGGTGCACTAGGTGGCAAAATCTACATTCAGATAATGGAAGCTGAGTTGACTGTCCCTTGCACCAGCAGATGGTCAGAGGTAGCTCAGCAACCAAAGGTTCCAGGGCCTCCTCCCAGCAGATCACATCCATGTGCAAATGCAGGAACTGAATCAGAGAGAGAGTCTCATCAAACCCAACAAAACAGCATTGATTTTGTTAGGCAGTATGTGCCAGGAACTCTCCCTTAGATAGTTCATCTTCACCATAGTTGTCGTTGTTTAGTCGCTAAGTCGTGTCAACTCTTGCGACTGTAGCCACCAGGCTCCTCTGTCCATGGGATTCCCCAAGCAAGAATACTAGAGTGGGTTGCTATTTTCTCCTCCAGGGGATCTTCACCATAATCTTGTCTGAAGTCAGACCATCGTTGGCATTGAATCCCAGCTCTGTCCCTTAAACTGTGAGGTGTCAAAGAAGTTGCCCCATTCTTATAATGTGGATAATAAAGTAGCTGTTGTGATATTATTGTGGTAAAGAGCCCCTGGTTCTGTGTTTTCTCCTGTAGACTCAGGTTCGTGTAGAAACAGTGTGGCCTAGTGACCAGTCCGGTCATCTGCTGAATGTACAAAGGCCTCCAAGAAGTCAGGCCAGGACTCCAAAAGCAGGCCTCCAAATTCCTCTACTTTTTATGACTCTCTCTGCTCAGAATTTAATTTGTGTTTAGGGGGAAACAGTGAGCAGACAGGCGTAGAGGGCAGTCAAGAGGAGAGGGGGCATGGCAGCAGGGTCCCACTTGGCCAGCACCCACCGTTCCCTGCCACCCATCCAGGCAGGAGCCAGACCCTATGGAACGGCTGTCACTTTTTCTCCTTCCCTTCCTTCTAGTATTATGATGACACATTTCCCTCCATGAAAGAGCAGATGGCCTTCGAGAAAAACGTCTTCAATAAGACCAGCCGAACTGACAGTAAGTGTCCTCCTCTTCCTTGCACAGAACTCTCAGATGCACACTGTCATCTCCGTCTGGACACAGCTGTCCCTGTAGGCCTCACATACCCACAGGCCATTCCCTTTTCTTCAGAGATGCTTTTTCCTCCCCTTCCCAGCTGTTTTCTTTTCCCTTCTGGTGAAACTTCACCCTCCTCACAGTCACCAGCACGCACACACACCCCCCACCGCCACCTGCTCCCACCTGCCTGCTTCTGGCATGCCTGGACTCCTCTCAGTGGAAGAGGCCACCGCCAGCCTGGGGCTGGTCAGAGGCATTGCACATGGTGGGTGAAAGGTCAGCCTTAAACCAGGCTTGCTGACTTCTCAGAATGAGGCAGTCAGGTGCTAGGAATGAAGTAGAGGGTTGGAGCAGGGACACAGAGTAGCCCAATGGTAGTGTCCCTAGTGAAAATCTCTCCAAGGGTTCTAGTCTTTGCGAGGATTCTTTTTTTGTTTGGCCACTGCTTTTGAGATCTTAGTTCCCAGACTGGGGATTGAACTTGGGCCCTTGGCAATGAAAGCACAGAGTCCTAACCATTGGACTGGGCTGGAATTTCCTTTGCAAGTGTTCTGGGAAAGAAGAAGATAATAGGGGGAGAGATGCAAAGCTGGAGATGGACAGGAGGGGCCAGGCAGAGGTGACCAGAACTGAGACCCCGTTTCTCTTCTAGGTGAGATTGCATTTTTGGGGGGCATGACCATCGTCTACAAGAGCAGCATCGACCTCTTCCTGTATGTGGTGGGCTCATCCTATGAGAACGAGGTGAATTCAGGAGGTTGGGGAGACAAGAAGGGTCTCTCTGTGGGGGAGTGGCTTGGAGTCTGGGGTAGAAGCTGGGTGGCTCCCCCTTGGTACCCCTGCTTCTAGACTCTGGGGAACTGGGAGCCTCCAAAATGGTTCTTTCTGGAACAGTGCATATCCATGATACCCATTCTATTCCTTGGGTACCAGAAATGGAGTCCTCTGCCGGGAGCTTCTGTCTCTATTATACATCACTGGAGAAGGATGTATTCAGTGTCCTGCAGCAGGCACTCCAGTGCTTCCCAGTTCAAACACGGGGAGGGACCTTCTCAGGTCGAGTTGCAGCCAGGCTCCAGCCTTGTCCTCCCAGAAGAGGGGCAGCTGTCCAACAGTCAGGTTCTGAGGTTTCCTTCTGGCCTTTTCAACCTCGGTCTCTCTCGTTTTCCTCCTCGCACATCCACTCCTCACCAGCTGATGCTCATGTCTGTTCTCACATGCCTGTTTGAGTCCCTGAACCACGTGCTAAGGTGAGTGAGGTCCTCTGTCCTCCAAGGCTCCCATCCCCCAGACCTTGGTACATCACAGGCAGGATGGTTCCCTGCTTTTCTCCTTAAGTCTCCACAAGGTGAAATCTGGAGCCAGAGCAACTTCCTGCAAGGCCCCCTGCCCTTTACCTGATCAAACAATGGTATGGCCAGAAGATGAAGTCTGGAGAAGCTAAGTGATTTGCCTGAGGTGTTACAGGTCATTTATATCAGAACCAGAACCAAGATTCAAACTCAAGGTTTTTTGACTTGACGCTCAGGGTGATTTTCTCTCCACTCCCGTTCAGTGATCTGGTATCTACTCCAGTGAACATGGCCTGGGTAAATCAAACTCGGATAACCAAAAATAAGTGTTTACAGTCGCCATGTGTAACTACAGTAGAGCTGTAATACCTGTAGTGCTTTAGGGTAGAAATAGGATCAGTGCCCAAAAGTGGCGGGGGGCGGCATGGGTAGAATGGACTATGAGGGGCTGAAGGAAGCAGACGCGTCCTCTGCTCAGGAATCCCTTGCCCAGGTGCCAGCCTCACTGCCCTTGATATTCTCCTTCCCTGTGCTTGTGCGGGGACAGGGGCTGGAGGGTGGGGAACGAGGCAGTCTTTGGAGAGAGCGGGTCCGCCTCACTAAGGCAAGGACCCGGCTCCTCCCAGCCATGCCACAGGGAGGTTGCAGAGCTGTGTCTTCTTTCAGGAAGAACGTGGAGAAGCGCTGGTTGCTGGAGAACATGGACGGAGCCTTCCTGGTGGTGGATGAGATTGTGGATGGCGGGTGAGGAGAGGGAGAGGAAAAGGGCCTGGTCAGGAGCCCTCACAGCGGGAGGTGGCCTTGAGGGTCATCAGCGCTAGGTTGCACCCAGCAGGCTGTTGGCTCTCTGGCCAGCTTCTCCCTCCCTCTCTCCAGCATATTCCCTGTGATCCCATCCCCCAATCCCACTCATGATGATGGAGGTTGACTTCAGTGTTAGCCAAAGTCAAGCACGCAAGAAAGTAATCTGATGTCAAGCTATGGCTGACTGTTGACCAGGCAAGGTTTTGGGGGAATGGTTTGCTCTCCAGTGGCCAGGAGACGCAGGCAGCACAGACACCCGCCCTTCCTAGAAAGACTTCATTCAGGCGGAGCCCTGTGGCAGCTACACCTTTTACTCTTAGAGGTTCACTCCAAAATTGACTGTATGCACCACCTGGGCCAGTTGCTTATTTTCCTTACTTTCCCCAGCTTTGAAATGGAGACAATAAGGAAACTGCCTAAAAGGATGTGGGATTAAATGAGGTGATGCAGGTGAAGTTCATTGTTCTCCTTCAGTAAATCTTGTCTCCTCTTACTGGTGGAAGATTATAGTCTTAGGAAGCTGGGAGCTCTTATGAGAGAGGTTGGTTAGTGAATTTCCATGGGGGCGGGGTTGGGCAATATTCAAGGAGAAAAAGAAGTTCTGGCTCTGGAGCAAAGGATAATGGAAACGGATCACCTGTGAGACATCCATATGCCTGTGATTACATGCATTTAATAGATGAGGAAACAGAGGCTCAGAGATTTAAGTGACTTGCCCAAGGTCACATGACTAGCGGGTGGCAGGGCCAAGATCTAAAACTTGTGAGGTTTTCCAGAGATTGTGCTCTTTCCATGGCACTGAAACACATTGCTAGGGACAGGGGCTCTGGGAGATGGGGTACTGTGAGGTTCTTCCTGCCTTCCCTCCCTCCTTTCCTCTATATCTGTTGACTTCCTGCTGCTGCTGTTGCAAGGCCTTGTGCTAATTGCTAGGACCTGACAGTGAGGGAAATAAGACCAGGTTTTGTGGAATATACAAGTTGTATATAAAATTTGGTGGAACTTCAGGAAACACACACAGTTATAAATATAAAATGAAGTGCAAAAAAAATAAAAATAAAATGAAGTGCAGGGCCTTCACAAGGGAGATTGTGAGTTTTATCAGCTTCCCATCTGTACCCCCAGAAGGCCCAGTTTTTGCCCCCGTTTTCCTCCAGTGAAAACAGGGAAGCATTAGTGGAAGCAACATTTGGTCCTGAAGCTTGGCCTGGAATGGTTGCTCTAAAGGACCTCTGGTGAGGGACTTGGGGCTACAAGTGCCCCTGTAATGAGGCTGTGAGAAGGTCTCAAGAAATGTTTGTTCACTTCCTTCTGCCCTATAGGAGGCTCACTGGGTGAGGAGGAGCAGTCACTCAGTTCCTGTGAGCCTTTCTCACCCACAGGGACCAACTCTTCCCCCTCCCTGCACACCCTCCAGTGCATCATGAAAGAGTGCCAGTTAGCCGAGAAATGCCTCCATAATTGGGTCTGTCGAAAGGGAAGGTTAAAAAAAAACAAAAAGGGAAGGTAGATTCTGATTTTGCAGTTCCATTTCTTTCATGTATAGCACAACACCATGGCAGAAAATAATAGTGAAACCAGATAGGGAGGGGGCTCTTCTCTTCCATCACTGCATCTGAATCCATCCCTTCATCCCAGAGGTGAAGTGAACTTTCTAGAGCTCTCAGTTTTTGAGCCCCTGCTTTTGACAACCTGATAGATCTAGAGTGGACTACCCTGACCTGATCTCTTAAGGGTTTGCCCAGTGATGACAAAGTATGTGAGAATCTGGGCGCCATGGTGAGGGAGAGTTCTGGCTTGAGGAGTATGGGCATGCCAAGTACCTTGGAGGGAGGATGTTGCAGGATATGGCAGGGAAGCGAAGGGCTTAGCAGGGAGCAGAGTCCAAGGAAAGCATGGGGCTGATTTTCCTCCTCATTTCTCTCTCACTTTGTAGCGTGATTCTGGAGAGTGACCCCCAGCAAGTGATCCAGAAAGTGAATTTTAGGGTAAGAGCCATCCTGTATCCCCCTCACTCCCGTCTCCTCCAGGCTACCCTTCCCATCCTCTACTTCCTGTCCTCCCTGTATCTGGGCAAAGGGAACCCGGATGGTGGGAACCCAAGCTCCTCTAGCAGAAGCAGCCACTGGGTTGATGCACTTCTGGAGGGGAGCAGCAGTTTGGAGGGATGTCAGCCAGTAAAAGAGATTTCTGTCCTCTTCCCTTGGCCAATCACAAATACCTCACCATCCTTCCTGGTGGGAAGTACAGACTGAGGAAATAAATAAATCCTCACAGAGACACCTGGTGGCTGCCTTGCCTTGAACTTGGCCTTGGAGGGAAAGAGATGGAATCTCCCTGCCCAGTTTGGCTTCTTCTGTCTGGATGAAACCTTTCTTCTCATTTTTAATCCCCCTCACTTTCCACCCACCGTGTCCCTTAGACAACGCTGAGGATGCTGGCTTCCAAGGGCTCTAGAACTTCCACTAAGTGATACACATGCAGTTCTGGATCCCTTGATCACAGCGTCCGCTCACCACCCACAAGCCCCTTTCTCTCACCTGTCTGTCTTCACCCGATACCCTTGCCCTGGCCTGACCACCTTGATTCTGCTTCCCCCACAGGCGGATGACAGCGGCTTGACTGAACACAGTGTGGCCCAGGTAGGCCTTCTCCATCTGCCTTGGCCAGAGATGAGCTAGAGGGAGGAGAACAGAGCATCCCAGGGGGACCCAGTGGGGCTCTCCAGGCAGAGAAGTCAGGGATGCAGGAGGGAAGGGATGACTCTGTCAGGCCATCTCTTGGAGACAGTCCACTGGAGGCTGCCAGGGTCCCCATGGTAATGTGGAGCTTGGGTATTAATAAATGATGATGCCTTCCCAGCAGTTCACCTTATCTCCTAGCTGGGTATAGTTGGGTCAAAGCCCACGAGGAGCTGCCCACGCTGAAGATGGCTGGGTCACTTGTTCCCCAAGTAGTGTGGGGGCTCAGGCCTCTGGAAAGGATCCCAAATAGGAGTTTTCTTCTAACCCCTCACCCCTGCTCTTTAGGGTCCACACTGAAGTTGTTAAGGGACACTTAAATCCACCATGGGATCTCATTCTCACCGCTGGCACAGCCAGTTTGGGCTGCACCTTGTCCCAGAGTGTGGAAGAGTCCATGCCCGCCTGTCCCCTGCATGGTCCTATCTCGGAGTGCATGTGGGACAGGGCTGAGGTTTCCAGATCTACAGCCTGACTGGTTTCCCGGCTGCACAAACTTCCTACTTGTCAGGCTTGACCTCCATTCTGTCTGCCCGCAGGTCTCTCTGCCCAGACTAATCCTGCTTTTATGGAGCTTCCTGCCTGGCACTAACCACCTTGTGCTGTAGTGGCCAACGCTGAGATGGGCCCATGGCAGTCCATGTGGGGCTCCAGGTGTGGTGGTGCCCTTTGCTGTACCTGCCCTTCATGCTCTCGCAGCCTCTCCCTTCCCAGTTCTCCTTGTCTCCTCCTGCCCTGATGAGATGAATGCAGCCACATGGCAACTTTCAGGGCTAAAGAGGTTAAGGGGCAATGAACAGAGCAGATAAGAACAGCGGTGCGGGTGTGAGTCATCCAAAGGATGTAATGTTCTGCCTTACCACCTACAAGCTGGGTGGCCTAGGGCAAGTTATTCTACCTCTCTGGGCCTCGAATAATCACAGGACACTCCTCATAGAGTTACGATGAAAATTAGATGAGCTAAAGCATGGAACGCTCTTGGCATGCATCCTGTTTTCCATAGGGGGAAAGAAGGCAGACATGGCACTTTTAATGGAATTCTTGAGGAAACACCAAGGGATGTGCAGGTAGTGAATGGGAGATGAAAGGAAGAGAAAGGTAGATCTTTACTGAGAATTGCAGGAGAACTCCAGGTCCAGGCTGTCCCTGAGAGAGGATGGGGAGTGGGCAAGAGGAAGGGACATGCAGTGTGGGATCAGCCTTCTTCGGGTGGGCGCGAGGCTTGATGGCTGGAGGGACAAACTGAAAGACATAGGTGGGGTCTGCAGTGTGTTCGTGTGGTGTGTGCACAGTTGCATGGATCTGTGTAAATGTGGGGCTGAGATGGTCTCGCAGCAGGATTTGAAAGGGAACACATCTGAGTGCAGGTGGCCTTCAGCAGAGCCTGCCCAGGAGCTCTTTGCCAGCTGTGCCACATCAGCAGCAGCTTGGCGTGGGGTGTTGAGGACTTACTGGCAGCCAAAGCTAGAGCTAGGGGTTTGCTGAGGTGTCTGGGCACAGGAAGTGTCGGGCCTGGGCCCGCCTCTGCCTGGACGTGGCACTGCGGGTGGAAGCTTGCATGGCATGGTGTGGGGGAGACCAGGCTGCTGCCACACCCAGTGCCGCAGATGCTGGAACCGAGGGCTGGCTGCTGGCTGCAGTCAGCTTGGGCGGCTCTTTCCATCTTGATGGCCCAGCCCCCGTTTAAAGCAGGCAGAGATGAGCTGCTGCCACCTAGTGACCGGGGATCGCCAGGACATGTGTCCCCCCCACCCGCCATTGCACTGTTAATGTACTTGAATTCCACCCGGTAATTCTCTCAACCCTCCACACCCCGCCCTACCCAGGTTCTTCAGTCTGCCAAGGAACAAATTAAATGGTCGTTACTGAAATGAAGGCTGTGCATTCAAGGCTCCCTGCCCCCAGACCATTCCCCCAATCCTAGCAAAAGCCCAGAGACCCCAGGGAACAATAGAAACCCAGGCCCTCCCAGAACTGACTCCTGAGGTCTCCGGCCAGGGACTTGAAATGCAGAGATTTGGCTTCAATACTGAATCACCCCTTCTTCCTGCCCTGGCCTGCCCTTTGGGCCTTGAGAAGCAGTTGAGTTGCCTTAACTCACACCTTAGGCATCCCTGGCCCCAGAGCCCAAATAAACCTGCTTTTGTCTCCTGCCAATGGTCTCTTTCTCTTTTGGCCTGGGAAGTGTGTGTGTGTTCTGATAAGGGCTTCTGCTCTCTGCGGCATCTTCCGGATGTCCAGTACTAGGTGTATCTTTGTGGTTGTGTGATTGGGGAGGAAGTGGGTGAAGGGAAAGGAGCCGATTTAACTTAAGTGAGGGGGTGCGTCACTGACACCGGGGCCCTATATGTGGTGTGGAGGGCTAGGTATGATTGTGACAGGGTGAAAGAGTCACAATGGGAGAAACGGTGCATTTAGGAAGAAAAGAGCAAAAGATACTACACACGTGGTGGTCGCACTGGGATTCTTCAACTGACTTTTTCCATTCTCAGCCTCCAGAAGGGAAGGGCGTAAAGGTTTCCTCTGGACAAACTGAGGAACAGCACGCCTGTTTTTCTTGGCTTGCTCGGGAAGTTGCCCGGAAATCCAATGCTGGCATATACCCTGGGTACTAGAGCGCTGCAAGCCTGGCCAGGCCCAGATACTAGGGGTGAGGAGACACCGGCCCAGCTCCCACCTTGCATTGTGTCCAGATCACCTAGTGCACCCAAGGGTGAGGAGAATTACAGGTACAGGAGAGGGATCCTATAGGCAGATGGGAAAGATGGAGTGACTTTCGGGGGTCACAACGACTCCTCTCTTCCTGTTCTAGAACCTCCCCCTTTTCCCTTTTCTGCGTGACGTACAGAAATCTCTGAGTGTCTAACTTTCGGCCCGGGATCGCTAGTTTCCCCAGATCCAGAGCCAACTGCAGATGCAAGTTCACGCCCCGCCTTGGCTCCGCCCCTAGGCGCCCACCGCCGCGGGGAGCCGGGTCCGGCGACTTTATCCACGATCCTATAGCGCCACCTGGAGGGAAAGGTGGGGAACGCGCTCCCTCCGAGTCCCGCGTCCCCTACTAACTCCGCCCCCAGGGTGGGACAGACCCCCTGCTCCCGGGAGTTAATCTCTGGCCTTCAAATTTAGCGGCAGGGCGTTGCCCTAGCAACCAGCGGGCTGGACCCGCCCTTCGAGCTCCGCTGCAGGGACTGCTCACGAATTTCCGCCTGCCGCTGCTGAAAGTGACAGACCCTGCGTGTTAATAGAAGCAGTCCCTGCGTGTCAGCAAGTCCTACATTATAAAAAAAAACTCTCTACAATGGATATTTATAAATGGGCCTGCTACTTTTGTAATTAGAGAAAATAATACAGTTATGTAAACAGATTATAAACACTTTGTACACAACCATTCCAATAAATAATGAAACCCTGAAAAAAAAAAGTGCAATTAAGTAGTGTAGAGTTCAGGGGCCAGTGTGGCGACGGGAAATGAGAGATTTTCCAGAAATACTCTGGCTAATGTTCGGCTTCATCCGGTGTCCGGCTCCATCCACCGCCTCTAAATGACCGCAGGAACCGGAGGGGCAAATTCGTTTCCTAGTAACCCTTCGCGCCAGCTGGGTCCTGCAATTTCAATTGTGCCGGGACTGGAATGGGAAGGCCCGGCACTTCGCACAAACTTTGCCCACCGCATACTGCGGACTATGCGGTGCCTGCCCATTTTACGGAGAGGCACACCGAGGCTCTGAAAGGTTAAAGTGTTCACGACAGTTTTCGCAGAGCCGGGACCGCCGGGAAGAGGCGGCTTTCCCACGCTCCAAATTCTAGGGTCTTCCGACCCCCTCGCCCACACAGGGACTACACTGGGTTAAGAGGAATGAGTAGAGGGGGCGTGGCAATGCGGAGAGGCAACCAGAGAGGTGTCCTTTATGGCCAAGGACTCTGGGGAGGGGGGCTGCAGCGAAGCAGCCGACCCCCGCCCGCGGCGGGGAGGGGGCAGCTCAGACGGCTGCGCGGAACCTCGGGGGGAAATCCGGGGGGTCCGGGGAGCGCCGGCAGAATGGGGGTCCGGGACTCCAACTTTGCTGGCCTGGCTCTCCCGGGGCTGAGGAGGACAGGCCTATTCGCCCCCAGCCCCTTCTCGGCGCCCGCAGCCCCGCAGAGCCGCCAGAACTTCGGGCCTGGTTGTCTGGCTCGAGTTCTGCCCGCTGGCCCTGCCTCTCCCGCTCCCCGACGTGAGCGCGGCCTGGGGCGCGCAGCACGCGAGGGTGGGGGCGCCGCCCGCTCTCAACCCCTGGGCTCCTCCTTTCTGCCCTCGTGGGCTACCCAGCGGGTCTCGAGTATCTGTGGGTAAGGGGCTTCAGGGCGCCCCCTTTCCTCCTGTGAATTGGCACCGGGGACGTCAGTAACCCAGCCGGAGGGCGCACACTGAAACACTGGCCCGGGGCTCAGATGCAGGGGGGACGCTATGCACACCCAGACCGAGCTAGAGACACAGAGGTAGTACAGCCAGGCCCTAGGACCCCCTTTATCCCACCCTGAGCCGGCGGCCCCCTCTCTGGCTCCGCGCGCCCTCTGCTTTCCGGCCATTGGCTGGCAGGAAGGCAGAGCTGGTCGGATTGGCCCGTAGCCAGACAGTGATGGATGGCTCCCCGCTGACTGGACCTCGGCCGGGAGGGTGTCTGCTTCGTGGCTCGGTTTGGCAAAGGCGGGACCAGACCGGTTTGGGAGTGGGTTGGTGAATGAGCTGGAGGCCGGGTAAAGGATCAAACTTTCTGTGCTCTCAACCTGCCTTTAAACTCTACAGAGGAAAAAAAAAAATCTTACCAATGATTTCTCGCAGATACTCTAATTCCGGAACCTGATGTAGGCAAAATTGAATCATTTACCCAAAGCATTTTGGGCACAACCCTACGGACCTCACTTTCACTCCAAACTGGGCCTCCTTCATTTAACGATGTTCGCGCATTCCTTTCCTTCACTCAAATATTTGAGTGCTTGCCAGGAGCCAGGCAGTAGGGAAAGAAGGGGAGGGAGACTGATAAGCAAGTGATTGGGCCCAGAGGTGGCAGTGGGCTGGGGTGGAGGATTGAAAGGAGAAAAGGGGTGACAGATATTTCAAGATAGAAATACCTTTTGTAATCAAATTGTGTTCTCTATTTTGATCTGAGTGGTGTTAAAAATTCAGTTTGTGCTCAAGACTTGTTCTTTCCTGTAGGTAAGTCATAATTCACGACAAAAAAAAAATTTAATTAATCAAATGGCTGCCAGATTGTACTCTGTCATCAACATTTGTATGGTCCTCATCTGTTTCCTAACCTCTTCCTTATCTCTGTCAACTAAAACTGGGAAATATCTTCGATGAGGATCCACAGAAATGAGCATTATTGTGAAACACGTGTGAACATTATGTTGTACATACAGACCAGTGCTCTATCCCTCAGAACAGACTCTTTAGTAAGAAAAGCAGTATTGACACAATAATAATAAAAGTAAAATAACGTTTCTTTTGAAATAAGTCATTTCAATAGACATTTACTAATTGGCTGTTCCAGTTCATCTTGAAAGCAATTAGAAACGTTGACAGAGAAGACTAAGTTTTGTAGTATTTGGCAGAAAGAAGTTGGAGAAATAGTGTAAGCAAAGCAAAGCGGAAGAGAATCTGTCTAGGGAACTGCAGGTAGGCACATGTGCCTGGAATGGAGGATGCGAATCTCTGTGGGGAGGCCTGGATGTGTTGAGACTTGAAACTCCTCACTAAACAGGTTGTGACGGGATCCAGGGCAGCGTTGAATGGCATGCTAACTAATTAGTGCCATTTACTGAGTTGACTAATCTGTGCTCCTTAGCAATCCTACTGTCTTCAAAACAGGCTTACCAAGAAGATGCTGTTAGACTTATTTTTACAACTGAGGGCCCAGGAATTGGGATAGTTTGCCTCAGGGCACAGGTTAGATTTAAACCCAGGCTGGTCTGACACCATTGCCCACTGCTCTTAGACCACAGAGTTTGCTTTGTATTCTGAAGGTGAGGGGGAGCCACTAAAGACTTTGAAGCAGTTAAGTGATACCAGCTTAGTATTTTGTGCAAAGAACTCTGCTAGCAATATGGAATGCTTATCGAAGAGGGAAATAAGAATTTAGGGTCAGCGTAAGACCCCACAGAAGGCAGTCATTTTCATTATAGTCCCTTTCCATCCTTTATCTAAGCAGTGCCATCCAGCTTGATTGCACATCTTGTCACCAAACAGCTTGCAAAAATCAAGTCCACTCGGAGTTTGAAGAGTTAGTGCTTTTGAATTAATTTAGATAATTGCAGGCAATCATTCCACAAAAGGGCTTCCAAAAGGACCCTTTTGTTAGGGAAAATGATTTAACATTTATGTTCTGAATAGTGTATTAAAAAGTAATAAACTGGACTTCCCTGGTGGTCCAGTGGTTAAAAATCTGCCTGCCAATACAGAGGACACGGGTTCGATCCCTGGTCTAAGAAGATTCCCCCATACCGCAGGCCAACTAAGCCCGTGTACCACAACAGCTGAGCGATGTGCTCTAGAGCCGGTGCTCCACAATAAGAGAAGCTGCTGCAGTGAGAAGCCTGGCACCACAACTAGACAATAGCCCCTGCTTTCTGCAACTAGAGAAAGCCCACGCAGCAACCAAGACCCAGCACAGCCAAAATAAAACAAATAAATAATAAAAATTTAAATAAACCAGTTATTACCAGTGGGAAGAGGAAAAGGGAGAGGAGTAAAATAGGGGTAGAGATTAATAGGTACAAATTACTATGTATAAAATAAATAAACCTCAAAGATATATTGTACAGCACAGGGAATACAGCCAACATTTTATAATAACTATAAATGGAGTATAATCTTTAAAAGTTGTGATTCACT